TGGAGACTGATCTGGAACTCACTACGTAGCCCAGGCTGGTCTCGAACTCACAGTGATCCTCTTGCCTCAGCCTCCCAAGTGCTGGGATTACAGGTGTGCACCACCATGCCCGGCTTATTGTTATGTCTTATAATTTTGTGGGTCTCATGGTATTTGAAAATGTCTTGTCTCTGGTTATCTCATGAGTTTGTTCAGAGGTCAGAGCTGAAATCATCTCAAAGTTGATTTTATTAACATGTCTGTCACCTGTGCTTGAAAAACTCGAATAGTTGGTCATCTCTCCGCAAGATCTCTCCGGCATGGATGCTATAGCGTATCCAGACTTTTCATGTATCTTCAAGAGAGAGAGAACCTATCAGACATTACACCATCTTTTTTAATGTAACCTCAGAAATCACAGAACATCACTCCTATCACATTCAGGTAGAACACATCGCTAATGCTGGTCTGTAGAAAGGGACTCAACCTTCAACCTATAGAGGATAAGCAAAGATTTTGTAAACATGAGCTGAGTGTGGTGGCACTGTAGGAGGCTGAGGAAGGAGGACTGCAAGTTTGAACCCATCCTGGGAAACTTAGTGACTTAACAGGATGCTGCCTCAAAATATTTTTTAAAAATTTAAAAGGGTTGGGGATATAGCTCAGTGTGAGCCTTCCCCACCAAAGAAGAGAATTTATGAACATGAACTACCATACCTTTCTGAATAATGATGATAAGTGTGCTTCAAAAACACAAAGAGAAGAGCCAGGGATGTAGCTCAGTGGCGCCATGCCTGCCAGGCAAGCGCAGGATTCTGAGTTCCATACGCGGTACCCTCCCCCAACCCCCCCTCAAAAAAAAAGCAGAGAAGGAAAGTGTCTAGAAGAGTTTGTAGTTTGTAAAATTTTATTTGGCTTTGTTTCACAGCCATAAGTCATAACAAATTGCTCAAACCACACAGCCTGTCATTTGTGTGATGTAAAGGCTAATGAAATCATCAAAAGCATTCACATATGACAAAAAATAAATAAGTCTAAAACCAAAATAATTTCTTGTCAGAGAATTGAATTAAAATGACAACAGAGGATCTAGTTGTGGCTAAGATGAAGTAAATATATTCTGCCATTTTTTTTCTCCCACTGAATTCGATAATAAAAATGTAGCAAAAGCACACAGCTTAGTTCTTTAAAAGTTCTAAAATGTAAGTAGAACAGACAGATAGGTAAAGGCAATCTGTATTTTCCAACTTGAATGAAAGACAACTTGAAACTTGAAAGTGAGCACTATGTTGCAACAAGAGTTCAGGGGTGGGAAAGGTAACTGAATGCTCACAGTTGGAGGAAGCTCCATTTTTTTTCCTCTTTCCTCCATGTTCTCGTGTTCCCTAGATGTGCTCTTGGCAGTGAGTGTGGTAGGCAAGAGAAGCCTGCAGGAGCCAAAACTGAGGAGGGGGACGCTACTTTCCACTCAAAACAGAGTTGCAGATCTGAGCTGTCTGGGCAAAAGCCCACTGCTTTTTTCTGTTCTTGTCCTGTTGCTTCACCTTAGATGTGGTGCATTCAGGGCAGTTGGCAGTTTTCTGATAGAGAACCTGGAAGGGAGCTCACAGAACTGAAAAGTTGAGAGCAATAAGAGACAAAAGATCTCCAAAAGTAAACTCACAAAGCTGTCAGGAACTCCTGTATTCCCGCCCAGTGTTCACCCTAATTAGCATGCCAAAGACACTGGGAAGTGAGACTTCCGTTAAGGCGCCAGAAAAAGCACTGAGTGTTAACAGGGAGGACTGGACCGCACAAATGACACTGCAAAAATGTGAAAAACTTAACTGACCCTAGAGCCACAGCCCATGCAATTCTTTAAAGTACATTTGATGGTTGAAAGAACATTTTGTGATGTCAATGTATGTAGGTATAATATATAAAACAACTACAGCATAATAGAGTAAAGTGAAATCTGTGGGTTCCATTCAAATTCATTCCAGTGAATTGCAAAATATTGATTCTCCATAGATAGTCAAAAGTTAAGAATATATTCTGTAACCCTTAGAGCAATCAGTAAAATATTATACAAAGAAATATAATAAAATTATAATAGGCAAATTAAACTGTTTCAATAACTCAAAAGAATGCTGGTAAGGGAAAATCAGGGAGGAAAAAGTATAATAAAATGATAGGCTTATGTCTAAACAGATCAATAATTATATTAGATGCAAATCATCTGAACACACTACAGTGCTACCTTGGTTGTGGAATAGCTCCAAGCTCTTAACTTTCCACTACTCGAACAGCAAAATTTTTTAAAAATCTGCTCGATGTTCATGACTTTGCTTGATAATCAAAACCAAAAATCTGACTTGAAAAAAACTGTATGGCTGAGAATGAGTCTGAGATAGCCACAGTAGAGTTAAAGAAAGACATTGCAAAATTTGGTAAAGTCCTGGAAAATGAATTTATGAGTAATTTTTGGCCTCAGAACCAATTGTTTGGTTTTCCATTATTTCTTAAGGGAGAAAGACATTCAGTTCTTGAACTTTTTGGTGTTCAAACACAAATTTGGAACGAATTTTGTTCAACAACCAAGATATCACTGTAAAAACAGAGATTTGCACACTGGATTTAAAAAAACATGAATGGATTATATTTTGTTTGCAAGAAACTCATTTCAAAAATAATAATATAGGTGGTTAGAGGTATAAGGATGGGAAAGAATATATAATGCTGAGCCTAGTTTGGTGGCTCACACTTGTAAAACCCAGCTCTCAGGAGGCTGAGGCAGGAGGATCACTACAAGTTCAAGGCCAGTTTGGGCTACATAGTTCAAGTCCAGTCTGGACTACATAGCAAGACCCTGTCTAAGAAAGAGAGACAGGTGAAATAAATAGGAAACACATGTGTAAATACTAAATAGTTTCTCTGGTGTGAGAAACTGAAAGTGTAAATAAGGATAAAAATGTATGATAGATAATGTGAAATAGGAAGAAAAGGTGCAAAGGGGAAGGGGAAGTGGGCGGGGTAGCGGAAAGGGAAAGAAAGGAATGGAATTAACGTGAGAAAACGAAATAATGGAAACAAAGTCTTTGTAAATAGAGAAGGGTGGAGGGGTTGAAGGGAGGGCAGGGGAGTGGGGAAAAATGAGAATCAAGATAGATTATGTAAAGGTGCAAATCTCCAATGATGAGCATAGCATCATTATATTGTATACCTTAAATGTACCAATAAAATTTAAAAAGAGGAAAGAGAGAGAGAGAGAGAGAGAGAAAAAAAACCAGAGTACAACAAGCCCATAATCAAAATACTGCAGTATTGCCATAAGGATTGACATAGAGATCAATGGGATAGAGTTGAGAGTCCAGAAATAAACCCTAAATTTATAGTCAGTTGATTTTTGACATTACCATTAAATAGAGCAAAGAATACTTTGCTCACAGTGCTGGAATGGCTTGTTATCCACATATAAAGTAATGAAATGGGGCCAGTTCCTCACACCATATACAAAATTTAACTCAGAATTAATGAAAGACCTAAATATAAGGATAAAACTATAAAAATGTAAAAGAAAATACAAGATCAAGTTTTCTTTCCTTCTCTCTTCCTTCCTTCCTTCCTTCCTTTCACTCTTTCTTTCTGTCTTTCTTGCTTGCTTGCTTTTTTGCTACCAGGAATTGAAATCATGACCTTGCACTTCCCAGGCAGGCACAGCTCCACTGAGCTACAGCCAAAGATTTAATTTTCATGAAACATGGATTTGGTGATGGTTTCTTTTCTTTTTATTTTTGGTACCGGGGATTGAACTCCGGTCCTTGCTCTTGCAAGGTAGGCCACCGAACCGCTGAGCTAAATCCCCAGCCCTGGCGATGGTTTCTTAAATATTACACCAAACTTTGAATTTCAAAGAATAACAGCAAAATAGCTAAAACTTGGAAACAGCCCGATTACCCATCAATTGGAGACTGGATAAAGAAGATGCGGTTTTTCTATAAAATGCAGTACTACTCAACCATAAAGAATGAGAAACTAGAATCATTTATAGGACAGTGGATGCATATTGAGGCCATACTAGTAAGTGAAATAAATAGGGCACATATGTGTAAATACCAAATAGTTTCTCTGGTGTGAGAAAATAAAAGTATAAATAAGATTCAAATTGTGTAAGTGACAATGTGAAATAGGAAGAAAAGGGCTAAAGCTGTAGGGAAACTGGGAAGGGTAGGGAAAAGGAAACAAGGGAAACAAAAATATGAGAAAAGGAAAAAATGGAAACAAAGTCTTTGTAAATAGGGAAGGCTGGCGGGGGTGAAGGGAGGGCAGGAGTATGGGGAAAAAATGAGAACCAAGACCTGTCATGTAAGGGTACAAGATCCCAATGATGAATGTAACTGTACTGTATACTTAAAAGAACCAAAAACCTCAATGAAAAAAATGTAAAAGAGATAGCACTGTTATTTGCAAATCATACATTATACGTGATTTATATCTGAAATATGTAAACAAATATTATAACTCAATAATAAAGAATATACATATTCCAATTTTAAAATATGCAAAAGTTCTATATAGATATGTCTCTAAAGAAAAATATTCCAAAGTTCAGCAAGCACATGAAAAGAATATTAAGGAAATGCAAATCAAAACCGATATGAGATACCACTTTACACCCACTAAAATGGTTATATTTTTTAAAAAATAAGGAAAGTATAAATATTGGCAAGATTATGGAGAAAGTCCAACTCTCAATACATTACTGGTTAGAATGTATTGCACCAATTTAGGTGCAGCTGCTTTGGGAAACACTTTGGTGTTCCTTCAAACTTTTAAGCACAGAATTATCCTATGACCTACAATTCCTAGGTATAGTCCCCAAAGAATATTAACAGGCATTAAATATAAGTACTGATTGCTCATAATACAGCTATTCACAGTAGCTAACAGGTAGAAACAACCCAAATGTCCCATCAGCTAATAAGAGGATAAACAAGATGAGATGCATCCACACAATGAATATTATTCAGCCACAAAAAGGAATGAATTACTGGTACATCCTATAGTGTGGATAGACCTTGACAATATTAAGTTTAAGTGAAGAAGTCAGTCAGACATAAAAGGTCACATAGTGTATGGTACACTTTATATGAAATGCCCAGGATAAGTAAATCTTTAGAAATGGCAGGAGCTGGTAATTGAACAGAAAGAAAATTGACTCTAATGAGTATAGGATTTCTTTTTGGGGTGATATAGATAGTGGCAATGGTCACAAAACACTGTGAATGTACTCAATGCCACTGACCTGCACACTGCAAGCCAAGCAAAAGGGTAAATTTTAATATTCACTTTACCATAATTTTAAAAATTCCAACATTAAACAAAAACCTGGTTTCAGATTGTTTCATTAGTAAATTTTATCAACATTTAAAGAAGAAATAGGGCCAATTTTACACATCTCTTCCAGAAAATAAAAGGTGGTAAACACTTTCCAAATAAAAGGTCAGTTTTATCCAGTATGAAAAACAAAGATAGTACACAAAAGAGAACTACAAGGCCAGGGATTTAGGTCAGTGGTTCTGCCACTTGCCTTGCAAGCGCAAGGACCTGAGTTCGATCTTCGGTACCAAATAAAAAAAAAAAAAAGAGAGAGAACTACAAGCCAATATCCCTCATGAGCCTGGGCATGTTAATTCTCAAAAAATAGCAGCCAACAGAAAACATCAATATATAAAAAGAATGTAACAAAACCAACTGTAGTTTATCCAGGCTGATTCAATGTTAGGCAATAAATCCATATAATCCATGATATTAACAGGCTAAAGAAGAAAAAAATACACGATTGTATCAATTGATGCAAATGAAAACATTTGGCAAAATGCATCACTAGCTAATGATAAAAATTCCCAGCCATCTAGAAGTAGAGGGTAACTTTCTCAGCCTGATAAAGAATATCTACAAAAAACCTATGGCTGACACCATGCATAATGGTGAAAAGTAATGCTTTCCCTCTAAAATTGGAAACAAAGCAAGAACTTCTATTCTAGCCACCCCTATTCAATATGGCACTGAAAGTCTTAGCCAGTGTGATAATACAATATTAAAAATCACACACTGGGCCCAGGATTTAGCTCAGTACTTCTGCAGCCTGCCTCGAAAGCACAAAGTCTTGAGTTTGATCCCCGGTACAAAAAACAAAAAACAAAGCAACAAACAAACAACAAAAAGCAAAACACACACCACAAACGCACACACACACATACACACTGGAAAGAAAGAAGCAACACTGTCCCTATTTCCAGATATTATTGACAATATAGAAAATTCAGAAACCTTTAAAAAACAAAACCACCTCCCATAATTAATAACTGAGTTTAGCAAGGTTGCAGAATACACAACACACAAAACTCAATTTATGCTATATATTACTAAAGAATAATTGGAAACAAAAAATTTTAAAAGTGCTTAAAATTTCTCTAAAAATTGAAAATGTAGGTATACATGTAACAAAACGTGTATAGTGTTTGAACAGTGCAATGTACAAAATGCTCATAAAAGAAGTCAAAGAACTAAATAAACGGAGAAACACTATGTTTGTGGACTACAGATTCTACATAGTAAAGATGTCTATTCTTCTGACTACACAGATTTAATGCAATACCAATCGAAATCTAAGTTTGATATTTGTCATTATAGACAAGCTGGTTCTATAACTTGTATGGAAAGGCAAGAGTAGTATATTTGCCAAAAATATTTTGTAAAATAATAGAGCTGAAGGAATCACTCTTCCCTATTTTATAACGTGCCACACAGTTGCAGTCATCATGACACATTGGTTAGTTGGATAAACTCACTGGTAGATAGAGAGTCTAGAAATAATTCCACACAAGAATGCCCAACTGATCTGGTACAAACACAGTTCAATGGAATTCAATAAATAGTATTGGAATAATTGGATATTCATATGTAAACAGTGAACCTTAATCTAATCCTTACTCCTTATACAAAGATTATCTAAAAATAGATTGTGGATTTAAAATGTAAAATATCTGTTGCACAATGGATAGTGCATTGGATTTCTAAAATGTGTCATGCAAAGCCATAAAGTTTTCAGGATATAGAGTAAAAATCTTCATAACCTGGGAGAAGAGAGTTCTAAAAGGATACTAAAACAATATATTAAACATTCGATAAATTAGACCTTATCAAAATGAATGACTTTTGTTTTATGCAAGATATTACCGAGAAAAATGAAAAAATCAAGCAACACTCCGAAAAATTTTGCAAGGTCAGTTAAAAAAAAGAGTTGTTATTCAGAGAGCTGGTACAGTAGCAGCATTTCCTTGAAAGTGTTCACTTTGCAACTGGCTTTATCTGTGTCTCTTATGGCCTTATGAGTAGCAGCACACATTTTATTACTTTCCTAGGCTGAGATAATTTTTGTTTCTAAGCATTAAGGGTTCAAGAGACAAAGAAAGGCAGAATGTCATAAAAAATAATGCTATTAAAAATAAGCCTGCAACTGGTGCAACCACTATGGAAATCCATATGGAGATACCTCAAAGAGCTGGGACTAGAGGTTCCATTTGACCCAGCCATCCCTCTGCTGGGTATCTTTCCAAAAGAATTAAAAGAATTATATCACAGTGATATATGTACACCTACGTATATAGCGACACAGTTTGTAATAGCTAAAACTTGGAAACAGCCCATTTGCCCATCAGTTGGAAACTGAATAAAGATGTGGTTTTTCTATAAAATGGAATACTACTCAGCCATAAAGAATGAGAAATTAGATTCATTCATAGGAAAATGGATACATATTGAGTGATATAAATAAGTCACAGATGTATAAATACTGAATAGTTTCTCTGGTATGAAAAACTATAATAGTACGTAAGATCCCAGGCTGGGGATTTAGCTCAGTGGTTCCAATGCTTGCCTTGCAAGCACAGGGACCCAAGTTTGATCTCCGGTACCAAAAAAAAAAAAAAAAAAGAATGTAAAAAAGAGCCTAATGATATGATTGACAATGTGAAATAGGAAGAAAAGGGCTAAAGGTGTAGGGCAAGTGGGAAGGGTAGGGAAAGGTAATAAGGGAAAAATATGTGAGAAAATGAAAAAATGGAAATAAAGTGTTTGTAAATGGGGAGGAGAGGAGGGGGTGAAGGGAGGACAGGGACAAGGGGAAAAAATGAGAACCAAGAGCTATCATGTAAAGATACAAGATTCCAATAATGAATGTAACTGTACTATATACCTAGAATGTACCAATGAACTCAATGAAAGAAAAAAAAATAAGCCTGCAAACAAAAGTTTCCAATGAGATAAAGAAATATAATGCTAAGAAAGATAGGAAAAATTTAAAGCATGATGCAAGCTCATTTATGCCATTAAAAACATTACATACTGATTTATATGGTGTTCATGTAAAATATGAGTATGGGTGTTTAATTATATTTCATTCCTACCTTTTTGTTCGCTTAAAATTGTAAAATAAAAAGTGGTAGGAGTAATAGAAGTTTTGTTTATTAATTGCTTGTGTACTCATTACAACTAACAATGCATATTGTTTTTGTAATTTTTTTCCGCTGTGATTATGTGTGTGTGTGTTATGTGGACTGGTATTTCTAGTAGTTAATTTTTATTACATTTTACAAAAGTAATGATCTGAAAGAAATTTGAAATTAAAAACAACCCTTTACCCCTGGTAGTTTGAGAAACACTGGTATAGCTGACCTTACATCAAAAAACCAATGTTAACAGCAAACAACAGAGAACTACCTTTGTTCTTTATTCCCTGGCAGTTCATGAAGAAATATCTTCTCCTAGTGGCAATTTTCTATGATGAGATTTTACATAGAAGATGAATGTTGTCACTCTTTTTCAGGGAGTCTGACCAAAGAAAGGACACAGAACTTGCACCAGTTTGTACTACTTTTTGCTGTATTTGATGAAGGTAAGTGAGCTTCAGTCTAAATTTTGGACTCATAAAAGAAGTAAAATATACTATCCTAATATGATATTTCAGAATGTGAACTGCTTCTACTCAGAAGAAGTGATTACAGAAAACTATATTACTATTCAGGATAGATCCTAAGGATAGGAAGGTAAGATGCATATACTTGGTGATAGTGTCTTAGTATTTTTTCGTAGGATTGTTGTAAGGCTTAGGTGATTTCACTATTTTGAGCACTATGTGATACAGACTAGGCCATCAGTAGTGTTAGAACTTCTGCCTCCTCCTCCTCCTCCTCAACAACCAGGACAACATTGTGATCTTCTCTCACCTCTTATCCACCCACACTGCCATTTTCTTAATTGAGGCTCCCATCATATTTCTCTTGACTAGTCTTCCATCTTTCTGGTTCCTAACACTTTATTGTTATGACAGCAGCTAGAGTTATTTCCAGTGCTCTAGGCTTTATTGGTTTTAGAGAAGAGGTAGAGAAGCTTTCAGGTTTTGGAATTCATTTCTACAAACCTGGACGAAGTAATTATGACAGGGATAAGGACTGATGGCCTTTTTTTGCGGGGGAGTGATGTTCATCTCCTTCCTTTTATTTTTATTGTTTTGGGTACCGGGGATTGAACTCGGGTCCTTGCACCTGCAGGGCAGGCCAACGAACCACTGAGCTAAATCCCTGGCCCTATCTCCTTCCTTTTAAATAAATCAACTAATAGAATAAAATCTGTGTGGTGAAAACTAACCAATATTCTCTTTTCCCCAAGTTATCATTTGTCATTTTTCTCTGCTATTGTCATAAACAAATATAGGTAGCTATAATCAGTCCAAGCAAGAAATGTCTACTTTTTAAATTTTATGTATGTATGTATTTATTTATTTATTATACCGGGGATAGAACTCGGGTCCTTGCATTTGCAAGGCAGGCACCGGAACCACTGAGCTAAATCCCCAGCCCAAGAAATGTCTACTTTTGATGATTGTCTTCTCCTCCCTCTTATTGACTTTGAGAGGATGTCATCTGCCTACTTTGCTGACAAAAATGCTTATACTGTGAGTAGTTTTTGTCCTAAGGGAGATACGTTAGCTTTCTGTTGCTGACAAAATACTTGAAAAAGAAAACTTAAAGGAGGAAAGATTTATTTTGGCTAACAGTTTTACTCCATGATTGGTCTGTGGTGAGGCAGTAACGTCATGGCAGACAGGTGTAGAGGAGGAAAACCGCTCACCTCATGGAAGCCAGGAAGGAGAGCAGGGGTAGGGAAAGGTCCAGGGACAAGATATCCTCTTCTAGTAATGCTTCCAGTGGCCTACTTCCTCCAGCTGGACCACACCTCCTACAGTTTCCACCACCTCCAGTTATGAATTTATCCATGTATCAATCTACTGATGCAGTCAGAGCCCTAGTGATCTGGTCATATTCCGAAAACCTCAGCTCTGAACATGGCTGCACTGGGGACCAAACCTTCAAAACATGAGCCTTTGGAAGATGTTCCAGATCTGAACCCTACACAGAGTAGAGAGGATGATCATTTATGAGTCAGAGCTTCACTGACTGCATTTTGCTTTATCTTTCATCAGGAAAGAGTTGGCACTCAGAAACAAAGAGCCTTAGGACACAGGCTTCAGATTCTGCATCTGCTGGGGATTGGCCTAGAATGCACACAGTCAATGGCTATGTAAACAGGTCTCTGCCAGGTATGTACACATCTGCTCAACAGTCCTCAGGTTTTCTGAATTCAACACGAGAGGTCTCTTTTCTAGGTCTCAGACTGCTCTACAGCCTAGTAGAAAGCCCACTGAATTCTGGCCTGTAGAGTTCTTAAAATCACCTGAAAATGAAGGTCTGCTTGCTTATATAGGACGATCAGATTTCTCTATCTGGGTGATCCAATATGAGTGAGCAGTCAAGGATGAACACACATTAAGGGACAGACTGCAGTATGAAAGGGATTTTCAAAGATAAATGAAGAAAAGTAATCCTGGAGGAGAAAGAGATAATGGTAAGAAGAGAAGAGAATTTGCCTGAGCTTGTTCTCCCAACTATTCAAGAAGGTGCTGTATCAATAAGGTAACAAGATTCTATCAAAAATGAACCATTCAGAACAAAAACACACTCATAAAAACTAGAAATATGATTGTCAAAATACAAGCTCAATAGAAAGCGGGTAGGGAACATGTTGCATGAAGTAGAAAAAAAGAAAAGATGAGAAAATATTTTAAAATAGGCTTAAAATAAATGACAAAATAAAAATGTTAAAAACTAAGAGATAAATGTCTTCCTACTAAAAATTACCCATCAAGATAAAAAGGAACCCCACACAAACTTATTGTGACATTTCAGCATACGAAGGTAAGATGTAGAACTTTTGCTGTGAGAAACAAGTCATGTATCAAGAACTAAAAATTGGGCCAACAATGTAATGTAGCAATACCTTAACAGTTCTAAGGGAAAGATTTTTTTCAGTTACATTTTTGACTGTTTGATTTTAAATTAATTGTTATTGGTACATGTTTGCCATACAAAAATGATCACATCCATCATAGGGAATTTCTAACTGTCCATAATATATCTTAATACTTATTTTCCCATTTCCCCCCCTCCCTTCAGACCTTCTTCTCCTCCCCACTTATAAAACTTTGTTTCCATTGTTTTTCTTCCATTCTTTTTTGAATCCTTATTCTCTTCTTTCCCTTCCCCTACCCCCTCTCTTGTTATCCTTCCCATTTGAACATTTTCTTCCTACTTCCCAATATCTATTCTCCATTTTGGTACTAATTTACCCTCTGAGTTTCTCATACAAGAGAAACAATAGAATATTTAAACATGTATGTCCGATTTATTTTACTTAACATTATAGTCTCAAGGTACATCCATTTACCTAAAAATGATTCACATTTATCCTTTGTGGCAGGGTAATGCTCCATTGCATATTAAAAGCCACATCTTCTTTATCCATTCATCCATTGATGGGCATATGGGCTGTTCCCAAGAATTAGCTATTGTGAATTCTGCTGCTATAAACATGAGTGTGTATATATCACTGTGGAATGATACTTATAACTCTAGAAGGGGAATAGCTGAGTCAAATGGATTTTCTATTTTCAGTTTTTGGAGGAATCTCCATACTGATTTCCATGGTGGTTGTACCAATTTATGCTCCTACCAACAGTGGAGAAGCTTTCCTTTTTCCCCATAACCTCACCAGCATTTGTTATTGGTTAATTTCTTTTTCCCCCCATTAAGTTTATTGGTACATTTAAAGCAAACAATACAGTTACATTTATGATTGGGATTTTGTACGTTTACATGATATTATCTTGGTTCTTTTTCCCCCCATACTCCGCCCTCCCTTCACCCCATTCACTCTTCCCTATTTATAAAGATTTTGTTTCCATTTTTTCATTTTTCTCTTTTCCTTTATTTCCTTTCCGCTTCCCTTCCCACTTCCCCTTTAGCGAGTTTCTTCCTATTTCACACTCTCATTTATACCATTTGAACCATACTTACACTTTTAGTTTTTCACACCGGAGAAACTATTCGGTATTTACTCAAATGTGTCCTATTTATTTCACTTAAGCGTATAGCCTCATTGTGCATCCATTTAGCTATAAATGTTTCTAGTTTCTCATTCTTTATGGTTGAGTAGTACTCCATTTTATAGAAAAACTACATCTTCTTTATCCAGTCTCCTGTTGATGGGCATTTGGGTTGTTTCCAAGTTTTAACTATTGCGAACTGTGCCACTATAAACATGGGTGAGCATATATCACTGTGGTAGGATTCTTTTAATTCTTTTGGAAAGATACCCAGCAGAGGTATAGCTGGGTCAAATGGGACCTCTAATCATAGTGGTTTGAGGTATCTCCATATTGGTTTCCACAGTGGTTGCACCAGTCTGCACTCCCACCAACAATGGAGAAGGATTCCTTTCTCCCCACAGTCCCGCCAGCATTTGTTATTGGTTGATTTCTTGATAGCAGCCATTCTTTCTGGGTTGAGGTGGAATATTAGTGTTGTTTTCATCTGCATTTCTCAAATGACCAGTGATATTGAACATTTTTTCATATATCCATTGGCTGCTTTTACTTGTTTGTTTGAGAAATGTCAGTTCATCTCAGATGCCCATTTTTGAACTGGGTCTTTGTACTTGGCGGAGGGGTCTGATTTTTTTTTTCATATATTCTAGATAGTAGTCCTTTGTCTGAGGAGTAGCTGGTAAAAATTTTCCCCCACATTGTAGGTTGTCTCTTAGCTCTGTTGGTGATTCCTCTTGCACTGTAAAAACTTCTTAATACAATGAGATCCAACTTGTTGATTCTTTGTGCAAGTTCTCGTTCTGCTGAGGATTTGTTCATGAAGCCTTTTCCTATGCCAATGTCTTTGAGAGTTCTACCTAATTTACTTTCCAGCAAGTTCAGCATTTCTGTTTTGATATTTAGATCTTTAATCCACTTGGGTTTTAGTTTAGTGCATGATGAAATATACGGGTCTAGTTTTAATCTTTGGCAAGTTGAAATCCACTTTTTCCAACACCATTTATTAAAGAGGCTATCTTTCCTTCAGTGAGGATGGTTGGCTCCTTTGTCAAGGATGAGGTAGCTGAGTATGTCTGGTATTGTTTCTGCATCTTCTGATCTATCATTGATCCTCGGGTCTGTTTCTTTGCCAGTACCATGCTATTTTTATCACAGTGGCTTTGTAGTATAGTTTCAAGTTGGGGATTGTGATAGCCCCTGCCATGTCTCTGTTGCCTAGAATGGTTTTTGTTATTCTAGGTTTCTTCTGGTTCCAAATGAATTTTTGGATTGTTTTCACTAGTTCTGTGAAATAATACTGCTGGAATTTCAATCGGGATTGCATTCTTTGTCTCTCTTATTAGTTTTGGCTTTAAATCTATTCTGTCTGCAAATAAGATAGCTACCCCAGCCTTTTTCTGGGCTGCTGTCATATGGAGAACTGTTTTTCATCCTTCTACATTCAGTCTATGAATTTCTTTGTGGATTAAGTGGGTTTCTTGTATACAGCATATTGTTGGATTTTGCTTCTTAATACATTCTGCCAGACTCTTTCTTTTAATTGGTGAGTTGAGGTCATTAACATTTATGGTTATAACTATTATGTATTGACTTTTCATTGTCAAGTTATTTTCCTGTTGTTGGTTCTTTTATTTTTTATTTTGCCCTCTTTCCCTTTAATTTCTTGCCTTGCCTGGTGTATTTGCTCTGTTGGACCTTATGAAGTTGTGGTCTTCATTTTCTTTTTCTTTTTCTTTTTTTTTTTTTTTCATTTTCTTTTTCCAGGATATTGTTTAGTAGTGTTTGGTGTGCCTGTTTGGTGTCCGTAAAATTTCTCAGGTGTTCTTTGTCATGAAAGTATCTTATTTCCCTGTCAATTTTGAAAGATAGTTTTGCAGGATACATCAGTCTAGGTTGGAGGTTGTTTTCTTTTAGGACTTGAAATACCTCACTCCAGGTTATCCTTGACTTGAGGGCTTGTGTTGAAAAGTCTGCTGTGATTCTGATGGGCTTTCCTTGCATGTGATTTGTTTCTTTTCTCTGACTGCTTTCAGTATTTTGTTATTCTGTTGGGTTTCTGGGACCTTGACTATTATATGTCTAGGTGTAGATTTTTTTTTATCATGGGTATTTGGAGTCCTATATGCCTCACTTATCTGTATGTCAAATTCTTCACCTCTGTTTGCAAAGTTTTCTGTCATTAATTCTGTGAACAGTTTTTTGATTTCGTTTGAACTTTCTCCTGCTACTTCATGGATTCCTATCAGTCTTATATTATTCTTTGTTTTTTTTGGTTTTTTTTGAGACAGGGTCTCACTACGTAGTTGAGACTGACCTGGAAGTCACTATATAGCCCAGGCTGATCTCAAACTCACATCAATCCTCCTGCCTCAGCCTCCCGAGTGCTGGGATTACAGGTGTGTGCCACCACACCCAGCAGTTTTATATTATTCTTATTTGCATCATCTAAGGGTTGTTGGATTGATTTCTCATGGTCCCTTACTGTTTTTAAGAGATCTCTCTTCAAGCTTACTGACCATAATCCTATCTTCTATATCTGAAATTCTATCTTCATATATGTTCGTCCTGCTGTGAATGCTTGCTATAAAGTTTTAAATCTCTTGGATATATATTTGAATCTGTTTCATGGATTCCAATTCTTTCCTATGTTGGGTATTCAAGGTTTCCACTTCTTCCATATGCTGGGAATTTATGGTTTCCATCATGGTCCTGAGTTCATGTATTTTTAAATTTTTTTATCTGTTTGTGTTCTAGAGTCTCTAATTGTGTCTTTCATTCTTCTCACCATCTCTGTGGTTATCTGGGAAATTATTTCTGTTTTGAAGTTTTCTAGAGCCTCATTTATCTATTTGTTTACTTCTTGTGCTATCAGCTCAGAGTGTCCAGATGGTTGACTGTCAGACTTTTCCACCTCATTTACCCGAGAGTTTACCTTTGGTGGGGTGGGAGTCTGTGTTTGTGTCTTGTTTAAATGCCTTCTCATTTATACTTTTCTCATTGGTACTATCCTTGGTTTAATTCCTGGGTTAATACATTGATCTTCCAGATATACATCATCTTTGGGTTTTGTGTCTCTAATGTCTCTGAGGCAATCTCATTTTCATTATACCAGGGAGGACAACTGATTAGATCAATCATAACACCTTAGCCCAAGTGATACAATCAGCAACACAATAGCATCAAGCACATCTTTAAAAATGACAATTTGTGGTAGTTATTAATCTATCACTTTCCACTGTGTGAATTAAATAAAAATTTAGGACTAGCCCAAAAATATGTTTATAGTGAATAAACTCTTCAATATAGGAACTTTACCCTTCAGGATGGGGATTTAGAAGGAGTTGGGGAAGGAGAGATAGATAGGATAGAGAAAAGTTAGAAGTGAGGTCAGAGGACACAGGAAGATCACACAAACTCTAGGGAGCTGTTGAAGAGAACAGGAGAGGACAGAACAAAATATAACCAAGAACAGAACAAAATAACAGCAATAGGGAGGCTAGAGACTGTAATAACTTTCTTTTAAAACTAATAGCAGTTGAGAGAAAGAAAAGGAAGAAAAGGAAAAGAAAGAAAAATAAATTCAAATTAGTATAGGAACAGGAACAAAAAGGTAATGGAGATCAAGGTGGGAGAGAGAGAGAGAGAGAGAGAGAGGAGAGGGGAGAGAGAGAGAGAGGAAAAAAAATTTTAAAAGGAAAAATTGAGAAAAGAAAAAGATAATTTTTTTAATGATTAAGAGAAAAATATTACTTTGAAAATAAAAAATACAAATAGAAATAGAGGACCTCCTTCAGGTTATACCTATGTTGACCCAATAGACAGTGTGGGCAGGAGTGAGAAGATCTAAGTTAATTAGTCTCAGCAAGCCAGCAGCTATCCCCTGAGGTTCAGGCTGATTTTTGGCTGCAAGGCCCAAGTTGAGATCTCTGACCTTCTGCTGAGTTTAATTCTGCAAGTTTCTACTGCACGTTCCATCTGTCTTTTCCCTGAAGTTAGACCAGGTTCTGAGGTGCTGGTCATTCCAACTTACCAACTATGGTGGTGTGTTGTGCCTTTATTGCAGATTTTCTTCACTTTTCCAGTGGGCTTGAATTTTCATCTAGGAGCCTCAGAGAGGCCCTCTTTCTCTGTTTGTGGGGGGGGCACAGCTGTGTTGTTGCTCGTGTGGCTGGGCTCCTCTGGTGCACTGGGTCAAAGGGGCAGGCCTACCAGAGGTTCATGAGCTGCTGCGAAGCTCCCCTGGCATGCTGCATTGAACATTGGTTGTTTTGTGATGATAGCTATTCTTTCTGGAGTGAGGTGGAATCTCAGTGTTGTTTTAATTTGCATTTCTCAAACGAGAAGTGTTCAACATCTTTTCATATATTTATATATGAAACATTTTTCATATCTTTATTTGCCATTTTCTTCATCTGAGAAGTGTCTCATCAATTGGGATGCCCATTTTTGGATTGGGTCTTTAAATTTGGGGGTCTGACTTTTTTACTTCCTTATATATTATAAATATTAGTCTTTTGTCTGATGAATACTTGGCAAAAATTTTTTCACTCCATGGGTTGTCTCTTCACTCTGTTGGTGGTTTATTTTGCTGTGCAAAAATGTTTTAATTTGATGTGATCCCAGATGTTGATTCTTTGTAATATTTATGTGCAGTCAGAGTTTTGTTCATAAAGTCTTTGTCTACACCTATGTCATCAAGAGTTTTACCTATTCTATCCTCCAGCAGATTAAGTATTTCTGTTTTAATATTTAGATCTTTGATCCATTTTGATTTTAGTTTAGTGCATAGTAAAAGATTTGGGTCTAAATTTAATCTTTGGAATGTGGAAAGCCAGTTTTCCCAGCACCATTTATTAGAGTGGCTATCTTTCTTCCAGTGAAGGAGCTTGGTTCCCTTGCCAAAGATAAGGTGGCTGAGTATGTTTGGAGTTGTTTCTGCATCATCTGTTCTGTTCCACTGATGCTTGGTTTTGTTTTGCTTGCCAGTACCATGCTGTTTTTATCACTCTAACTTTGTAGTATAACTCCAAATTGGGGATTGTGATGCCCCCTACCTTGACCTTATTGCCCAGAATTCTGGGTCTCTTCTGGTTCCATATGAATTTTAGGATTGTTTTCTCTAGTTCTGTGAAATGTGCTATTGTTTTTTGTTTTTGCTTTTGTTTTGTTTTTTTGTACTGGGGATCAAACTTGAGCCCTTGTGCTTGCAAGGCAGGCAGCAAATCCACTGAGCTAAATCCCCAGATGCTATTGGTGTTTTGATTGAGATTGCATTAAATCTATGTAACAGTTTTGGAAGGATAGCCATGGGAAAGATTATTTTTATTATTATTATTTTTTTACTGGGAATCAAACTCAGAGCCTCTCATTTGCCAGGCAGGTGCTGTGCTGCTGAGCTACATCCCCAGCTCTATTTTTAACCTATAATTTTTGATTAAATGAGGAAACAGCTTTGGGAATAGAATACTTATTTTTCAGAAATAGTAGGACCCAGAAGCCAGTGAACATGTACTGGAGTAAAACTAGACAGTGTATGAAAGCATTTGGGAAGTTGAGCAAACCAAGAGAATAATGAACGATGAGAGGTGAGAAGGGACTTTTCTTCTTAATTATTTTCGGTACTCATGATGGTAATTCCATAATGAATATGCATAATTTTAGAATAAAAAGTAATCTTTCTTACACTCAAGACCTGGGTCTCAAATAACATAGTATAATGGAGAGATAGATAATATCCAAATAATCATAACAATAAATGCAAAATTATAAACCAAGAGAGTTACTCTGAAAGAAATTTGCATAATTATATGTGAACACATAATACAGAAATCTATCCTAGACTGGATTTCCTGAAGAAGTACCACTTGAACTGAGCATTGAAGATGTTAACTATTGCCATAGTTTGTGTTAGATTGGATATGGGTGATGACAAGGAAAATTCGCACCTGCATACCTGAATCCTGGATAATGCCATTCACTGAGATAAGGAACTCTGGAGGAGAGTGAGATGATGGGAGATTGCCATGTCTATTGAGTTTTAGCATCACAATGGTCACTCATGAACTTGGCAAGGGCTGATCCCAATTTCCCTGATATGTTTTGTCTATGATTTAAGGTAACAAAATTTGCATGGTACTTTAGTCCATCCTGTCCTACCAAGTATTTTCCACTTCAAATTCTCTACCTCTTAGCCATAGCTGTCTTATTTCTATTTTAAAGGTCTGATTGGGTGCCACAGGAAATCAGTCTACTGGCATGTGATTGGAGTGGGCACCACCCCTGAAGTCCATTCAGTATTCTTTGAAGGCCACACATTTCTTGTGAGGAACCATCGCCAGGCCTCCTTGGAGATATCACCAATAACTTTTCTTACTGCTCAGACACTGTTGATGGACCTTGGACAATTTCTACTGTATTGTCATATATCTTCCCATCAACATGGTAATATCTTAGGTCTTAAAAATGAATATTATAAAAATCCAGTTCTACTTTTAATGGAATTTACTGGACACTGTGCAGAATTATAGTGTGGTGCAGAAGTTGCCATTATAGAGTTAGAATTATGTTAGACCTCAACTGAGACCCCCTAGTTCCTATCATCCAGATTAAAGATTTTACCTGGAGTGTAAGAGTATTTGCGTACTACTAGTGTGGGTAGATTTTTAGTTAAATGTTGGTGATACAGAGAAGAGAGGTAGTTTAATGATAAGTGAGATGGGGAAAATGAAGGAGGACAGTAAGTCTTTGATTTTCTTGCCTGATCCCATCAACTATGCTTCAATACTATGGAATAAGAAACTACAGGTTGTTTTATTTTCAACATTTGAGAGCCTAGACCAGACTAATTCCCTAACTCCACAGTACCTAGTGATTTCTGTGCTTACTCCATCAGATTGCCATACTAAAAACTGATTTAATAACAGCTTACCAGGAAAAATATGGCCTCTATTTTTAATTTAATAGGCTCAAAACCAGTTTTAGAAGGGAAATAATCATATATGTATTACTAGAGCAAATTAATGAGTTTTGAAAAAACTAGATAGTCCAGCAAAAGAAAAAATGGCAAAAGCAAAGACCAGAGGAAGAAACCAGGCAGTACCAGATAAACCATATAAGAAATCCATATACAAGTGAGGTAAAAAGGAGTACTAATATGGAAAGAGGGGTGCTTAGGATGAAGTCTTGAAAGCCTAGGAAGAGAAAAAAAGAAGTAAGTTAAGGTAAGAAAATCATGTCAGAATCTGACCCTGTTTGGTTTGCCTGACTCCAGATGGCATGGAAGCTTATGTGAAAGTACACAGCTGCCCAGAAGAACCCCACCTGAGGACAAAAAAGGTCGAAGAAGAGGAAGATTATGATGATGATGATGATCTTGATTCTGAAATGGATGTATTTAGGTTTGATGATGACCACTCTCCCTTTATCCAAATTCGCTCAGCTGCTAAGAAGCACCCTAAAACGTGGATACATTATATTGCTGCTGAGGAGGAGGACTGGGACTATGCTCCCTCAGTCCACACCTCCAATGACAGGTAAACACCTTTAGAGTCTTGCTACTACTCTTTCCCATACCCGGTATGTTCTTGTGGTAATTCGAAAGAAATCGTTAGGCTGTTCTTAAGGGTTAGTACAAATATGAAATCAAATAACAAGAGTATTGTGTTAGATTTCTGGCACTGTGGCAAAAGAACCAAAAAACTCTAAGATAAACAATTTCCAGGAGGAAAGATTGATTTTTGTCTCATGGTTTCAGAGGTTTCAGTCCAAGGTCACTTGGCCACTTTACTTTAGGCCCATAGTGAAGCAGAACATCTTGGTGGGTGCATATGTTGGATGAGTCTAGGAAACAGCAAGAGAAAGTAAAAGGGGCCAGGTTCCATAGACCCCCTTCAAAGCCACACCCCCAGTGACCCAACTTTTTTCCACCCCCTAAAGCTTTCACCACTTACTTCCTAATAGCACCCCGGGCTGGGAATTCATGCCTATAACACATGGCCTGTGGGGGACATTGAAGACTGAACTACAACAGTTATTAACATTATGTGGAGAACACCATAGCAAAGCATCAGATACACTTGTACTGTGTTTTTCTTCTTCCTTGCCTGGATGAAATTAGATCAGCTGCTTTAGAACTGAATTTTTTGGTGTATCCAAGATTTTCTGTCCAAACCCTTCACGTTTTTGTTTCTCAAACAGAAGTTATAAAAGTCAATATTTGAACAATGGTCCTCAGCGAATTGGTAAGAAGTATAAAAAAGTCCGATTTATGGCGTACACAGATGAAACCTTTAAGACCCGGGAAACTATTCAGTATGAATCAGGAATCTTGGGACCTCTACTTTATGGTGAAGTTGGAGACACACTGTTGGTAAGTTAAAGAAAAGACTTGAGATTAGGTAAGAATCAAAAGTCTGGAGATTTGGGGATTCTACAATACTTCATAGTTCAGCCTTATTTCTAACAGATATGATCTTTTAAGAATTATAAATGTGAGCCATGTGGAGCTTGCCTGGGACCACAGCCCATCCCTCTGGTCCTCAGCAGAGGAACAGTGAGAGGCTCAGCTCCCAGGCCCCCCATGCACCTCTGGCCTCCTGGCTGTTCTGGTACCTGGATTCATACCACAGAGGTACAGGGGGTCATAAAGGCCATTGCTCTGAGCTCTAGCCTCGATTTTGATTTAATTCACATGATTAAAGGTGATAGATTGATAACTACCACAAATTGTCATTTTTAAAGATGTGCTTGATGCTACTGTGTTGCTGATTGTATTACTTGGGCTATAGTCTTGTGATTGATTTAATCACTTGTCCTTCCTGGTATAATGAAAATGAGATTGCAACAGAGTCATTAGAGACTCAAAAACTAAAGACAAGTTATAACAGGAAGATCAAGTATTAACCTAGGAATTAAACCAAGGACAGAACCCACAACAAAAATAGAAATGAGAAGACATTCAAGCAAGGCACAAGCACAAACAAAGCCTGCCTATTCGTCAAAGGCAAATTCTGAAGGAAATGAGGTGGAAAAGTCTGATAATCAACCACCTGGACATCCTGAACTGATAGCACAGGAGCAAACAAAACAGATGAATGAGGATCTAGAAAAATTCAAAACATAAATAATTTCCCAGATAACTACAGAGATGGTGAGCAGAATGAGAGACATGATTAGAGACTCAAGAACAGAAACAGATAAAAATACTCGAGCTCAGGACCATGATAGAAGCCATGAATGCCCAACATAGGAAAGAAATGGATACCTGAATGCCCAATATAGGAATAAAATGGAATCCATGAAACAGATTCAAACAGATATCAGGAGATTAAAAATCCTATTGAAAGTATACATAACAGACTGAGCCAATCTGAAGACAGGATATCAGATATAGAATACAGTATGGTGGTCAGTGAACAAGAAAAGAGAGATCTCTTAAAAAAATAAGGGAACATGAGAAATCAATCCAATTTGCTCCTAGATGACACAAATCAATTTGCTCCTAGATGACGCAAAGAAGAATAATATAAGACTGATAAGAGTCCACGAAAAAGCAGGAGAAAGTACGAGACATAAAAAAACTTCACAGAATTAATGACAGAAAACATCCCAAAGAGAGTAAAATAATTTGATATACATATAAGTGAGGCTTATAGGACTTTAATAGCCATGATAAAAAAAATCTACACCTGTACATGTAATAATCAACATCCCAGAAACTCAATAGAAGAAAGAAATACTACAAGCAATTAGAGAAAAGAAACAAATCACATGCAAAGGAAAGCCCATCAGAATCACAGCAGATTTTTCAAACCAAGCCCTCAAATCAAAAAGAGCCTGAAGTATTTCATGCCCTAAAAGAAAACACCCTCCAACCTAGGCTGATATATCCTACAAAACTATCTTTCAAAATTGATGGGGGGAAAAAGATATGTCCATGACAAAGAATGCCTGAGAAACTTCATGAACACCAAACCAGCATTCCAAACAATTGTAAATAATATCTTAGAAAAATACATTGATGATCACAACTTCATAAGGCCCAACAGAGCAAATCCAGCAGGCAAAGCAAGAAATTAAAGAGAGGGGGGGAAAAATTAAAAAGAGCCAACAACAAGAAAATAACATGATGATGACAAGTCAATACATATCAGTTATAACCATCAATGTTAATGGCCTCAATTCATCAATCAAAACAAATAGAATGGCAGAATGGATTAAGAAGCAAAATCCAACAATATGCTGTATACAAGAAACACACCTGGTTTTAAAAAAACTCATAGACTGAAAGTAAAATGATGGAGAATAGTTCTCCATGTGATAGGAACCCAGAAAAAAGCAGGGCTAGCTATCTGATTTGCAGACAAAGTAAATTTCATACCAGAACTACTTAAGAGAGACAAAGAAGGTTGCTACATCCCTGTGAAGGGAACAATCCAAGAGGAAGAGATGACAATCATAAATATATATGCACCAAATACTGATGCCCCTACCTATGCAAAACAAATATTAAGGGGCATGAAACACCAAATAAGCACTAATACAATTGTAGTGGGGGACCTCAATACCCCACTGTCACAAATAGACAGGTCATCTAGACAAAAAAATCAACAACAAAATACTAGCTCCAAGTTAATAGAATATTCAATGAACAGTGGTTTAAACGAATATGGGTTAATTTTCTTTACAATAGATTTGGAGATAGATGATTGGCAATTCAGCTGCAGAAGAATATCATGGAGGATACTGGTTCTTATATTTGGAATTTTGTTAGATATTTCCAAAGTGACTTCTGACAATTCTGTACTGATTTTTAATCTCTCACTGAAATATATGAGTACTCTTTTCCCACTCCATTTCAACAACCATTTTACAAGCCTTTACAAAATTTTCTACTTGGTTGAGCAAAGTATTTATATATTATCTTATTTTGAATTTCCTATTATTTATTTACCTTTCAAAATTTTTTTCAGTCTGTCACTTATACTTTAAACCCTTTATGATATCTTTTGTCTCATAGGAATTTTTGATATTTTTATGGTCATGATCTTGAATCTGGTATCAGTATTTTCAGTTTTATTTTATGGATCTTTTTCATTATGTTTTCTGACAGAATGTTTTAATCATCCTAAAAGCATTATTAAAATTCTTCCATGTTTTATTCCTTTTTATAACTTTTTTTTTACAGCAAGCATTTTAATTGTTCTGGAGATTGTTTTGGGTGTAGTATATAGTATCATATTGGGATTTCTTCAAATGACAGCTAGCTGGCCCAACCAATCCTTTTTTGAAAATAACTTCTTCATGGGCTGGGGACTTAGCTCCGTGTTGCCACCACCTGCCTTGCAAAAGCAAGGTCCCAAGTTTAATTCCCCATAAAAAAAAAAGAAGAAAGAAAATAACTTCTTCATCATATACTAAACTGCTAAAATCTTGAGTCTTTGGTTCTCTTTAATGGAGCTGCTATCATACTGTTTTAATGAATGAAACTTTTTAATGTTTTGATATCTTTAGGATAAATCTTTTCTCATACATCTTCAAAATTCTAATTAACTGTTCATGTACATTTTGTCATCGTAACTTCATAAATAATTTTGCTTACCTATTTTTAAATAAATTAATAAAATAATTCAAAAGATGAAATGTAGAATATAAAAAAATAATTTTTCCTCACTCCCAGACTCCTAATTCCAAAGTTTAACAATCGGGCCCGGGATTTAGCTCAGCGGTTCCGCTGCCTGCCTTGCAAGTTCAAGAACCCGAGTTCGATCCCCGGTGTCAAAAAAGACAAAACAAAACAAAGTCTGACAATCATTCCTATGAGTTGATATATTACCCTACTGAAATAGTGTACGCATACACAATTGTGTATGTTATACAACAGCACTCTTGTTCTGTACCTTGCTTTTAAAAAATGTAGCAATGTGTCTTAGATTATCATTTACTATCAACATATATAGATCTACCTCATTCTTTGATTTGTGAAAATTATACTCTGGACAATTTGCCGAATCTACCATAAAAAATTAACTCAAAATGGATCAAAAACTTAAATGCAAGATCTAAAACTATAGGGCCAGGGATTTAGCTCAGTGGTGCCACCACCTGCCTCGCAAGTGCAAGGTCCCAAGTTCTTGTATGAAATATCTTGTATGAAATATCCAGAAAAGGCCAATTTATAGAGCAAAGAACTCTGTAAGTGGTTTTCAGAGTTGAGGGTGAGAGCAGGGATTGGTGGTAACATATCACAAAGAATCTTTTTTGAGGGGGAGGGCTGGGGATATAGCTCAGCAGTAAGTGCCTGCCTGGCAATTGTGAGGCCCTGAGTTCAATTCCTGGTACAAAAAAAAAAAAAAAAAAAAAAAAAAAAAAAAAAAAAAAAAAAAAAAAAAAAGAATCTTTTTGAGGTGATGGAAATAGTCTCATTCTGGCTTGTGGTAATAATTGTACAACTCTCTAAATTTTCTAAAACCATTGTACACTTAAATAGATGAATTTAGTGATATACAGTGGACCTTTGAGTTATGACCGGCCTGACATATGAACAACTTGGGTTATGATGGGAATTTTAGTTTTACCTTATGACCAGAGTCTTGAGTTACAACCTGAATGCTGGCCACTTGTGCTTCCAAATGGTCTCAGATACAGATTTAACCCTTAAAGAGTTCTGGAAGGAACATGACAGCATCCTTTCCTGAATGAGGTTCACTGAGAAATCCTGGGCCAATGTCTCTGTAAGGACACTGAGATCTGCCTGTATACAGGAGAGAGACTTTGAAAGCTGTGCAGAGGAGTCTGAGCCTTCTATTGACCAACTTGAGTTACAACCAGCCCTCAAGAATGAATTGAGTTCGTAAGTTAAGGGTTCACTGTATAAATTATGCCTCAATAAACATGTTTTTCAATGGACAGAAATCAAACAGAAAAAACAACATATATTCAAACCAATTGTAGTAAATTGTTACACTAAAGCTGTATACCCAAATACCTCAAAATTAGGGGTAGAAAAACAGCTGTTTATTATTCTCATGGATTTTGTATGTCAGGAGTTCAGGAAAGACTCATTTGGGCAATTTTTTATCTCTTTGGCCTTGATTGAGGTCACTTGGTGTTGATCATTTGTCTCTAGAGGGACCAAGACAGCTTCACTCACCTGTCAGGCACCTGAGTGATGATACTTGAAGACTGGAAATGCCAACCATAGCATCTACACAGAGCCTGTGTATATGGCATGGCTTCCTCATACTATAGTGGCTCCAAGGCCATGAGACCTCTTCCATAGTGGCTCAGAGATCCAACTGTGTGTACGCCAGTATGCAAGTATTTACTTTTTATGACCCAGTGCCAGAAGTTACCCCGTCCTTTATGCCATATCCTGCTAGTTGACAGCAGCCAAAGCCTACCTAGAAACAAAGAGAAGGGGAATTTGGTCCACTTCATGATGGAAGGAGTGTCAAAGAATTTGGTGCTCAGTCCTGGTCTGACAGATTACTTCTCTAGTTCAAGAAGGGAAGCCACAAGAAAATGAAATCACATGTTTAGAGTGCTGAATGAAAATCATTATTAACCTAGCAAGAGCTTTCATTTTATTGGCAGTTTATACCAATTTAAGAAATAAAAAAATTTTAAATGTAAAGTATTACAAGAGAATCATTATCTTGGTAAAGATTTGCAAAAAAGGAAAAAAAAACATATAATAGCCATCATACTTGGTGAAATTCAGTAACCTGCTGAAGGCGCATAAGGTTAGGGCAAGACCACCTCTGTTCAATATTATACTGGAAATATCAGTGCGTGTTCTTAGGAGAAAAAAAAGAAAAATTTAATATTGCAAAGGAACAAATAAGACTATGATGGGCTGGGGATGTAGTTCAGTGGTAAGGTGCTTGCATAGCATGTGTGAAGCCCTGGGTTCAATCCCCAGCACGATATAGATAAATAAATAGCTGTTCTATAATAAGAATAGATGATATGGTAGACTTATCAAATGAGTGGATTTTAAAACAAGAGTGCAAGTAGAAGTTAGTTTTTCACCCTTATATCGTACAGGATCAGATATAGAGGAAAGATTGACATCTTCTGGGTCTTCCTTGCTGTCTCCATGTTCTGTCTTCCTTCCTTTCCTTTAAAGTCCTTGCATCAGGGAAATTCTCCACTCCTTGCTTGATGCTGTCAACTGTCCTCCTTGCAAGTCGTGCTTCTTATTTTACCACTAGAATCCTTATCTGTGTCTCTTCTCTTAGGGAATTTAGTACTTAAATAATGGAAAAGCTTGAGAGGCAGCAGTGGGAGAAGGTACAACAAAAACTTCCTGAAGCAATTGAAATAAATTTTTAAGAAATGGAAAGAGGCCTTTAGTGAGAAACCTAATTAGCTGTCTAAATGATTTAATGTCAAGAACAGACATTTTGAACATTAGCTAGGCTCAAACTCCTATAATGTAAATACAGGAAGCTTTTGGTTTTCTGGAGATAGGCTACATTTTTCTTGTTGGTCCTAGTTGTCTTAGGATTTGATCCTATATTTCATTTATACTTTCAGATTATATTTAAGAATCAAGCAAGCCGACCATATAACATCTACCCTCATGGAATAACTGTTGTCAGTCCTTTGCACTCAAGGAGATTGCCAAAAGGTAAATATGACCTTATTTTTAAAAATTTTATTTGTATTATTACATGTTTGAAGTCCATAATGTTATATATGCCTAACACATACTAATTCTTTTCATATCCCCTTCCCTTCACTTTCCTCTCCCTGCCCTCCATCTCTTGGTCCACTTCCCATTTGGAAAAGATCTATCTCCCTATTTCCTACTATCTGTCACTCACTTTCCTTTTTAATTTATTTATATTTTGGATTTCTCATATAAGAGAAACTATGCAATATTTAAGCTTGTGTTTTTTATTTTGCTTGACATTATGGATTCAAGATGCATCCATTTTCCTACAGATGACTCAAGTTTATCTTTCCTTATTGCAGAGTAGTAGCAATTGTAGATAAACACCATGTTTACTTTATCCATTTATCTGTTGATGGACATGTAGAACTTTCCCAAGATTTAGCTATCATGAATTATGCTGCTATAAACATGGATCACTGTAATATGATGTCTTTAACTCTTCTAGAAAGGTACCTAAAAGGTGAAAAGCTGGCTCAAATGGAATTTCTAGTTTCAGTGTTTTGAGGACTCTCCAACTTTTATAGTGGTTATACTAGTTTATATTTCCACCAAAAATGTAGACGTGTTCATTTTGCCCACAGCCTCTCCAGCATTTATTATTATTTGATTTCTTGATAATAGCCATACTTTTTGGAGTAAGATGGAATTTCAAAGTCATTTTAATTTGCATTCCTCTAATGACCAGAAATGTGGGACTTTTTCATGTATTTATTGGCCATTTGTACTTCTTCTGAATAGTGTCCATTTGTCTCAGGTGCCAGTGTTTTGAATGGGTCTTTTATTTTGGTGAGGATCTGTTATGGCTTGTGTCTAGATGTCCCCTTGAAGCTTCGTGCAGTCATTTCACAGGTGGCTGAATCTATAGTGGGTAACTCAGATTGATTCATGGTGCAATGCTAGGATTAAGGGCACTAGGGTCTAAGGGCAGGTAGCCTGGGGAAAATATAAGGGACAGAAACCGGCTTGTCAGTTGTAGCTCTCTTGCTTGTTGTCTTCTTCCTTCCCTGCTTTGCCATGAACTGTTTCTCCTCTGCGATGCCCCTCTGCTATGCCACCCTGTCCTGGAGCCAGCCGACTATGGACTGAAACCTCTTCAACTATGCACCAAATAAACCGTTACTCCTTTAACTTTGAGTTTGGATATTTTGTCTCAGTAATAAGAAAAGTAACTAAGATAGGGTCTAATTATTTTATTTCTTTATTTTAGACCTTAGTCCTCTTTCGAGGAATAGCTAGCCAATTTTTTTTCCATTATGTAGATTATCTCTTATTCTGTTGGTTGTTTTCTTTGCAGTGCAGAAATTTTTAAATTTTATATAACCCCATTTGTTGATTCTTGTTGTTCTTTGTTTTTTTTGTTTTTTGTTTTTTTTTTTTTGCTTTCGAAACAATAGAGCTTTATACAAATATAAAGTTTTACACTTTCTAAGTTACTATTCTAATAGACACTTATTCAATTTAACAAAACATCTAAAATATTTTAGCAATACATTCGCAACATAATCTGCCCATTAAGACTCCAACGAAGTTTATAGTACCTACAACAGAATTTACAAATGCCTACAGTTTATAGATAAGTTTAGTTTAGTTACATATATTGCTTTAAGAAATATCATTTATACAAATGTGTGATTTACAGTATCCTTATTATAGCAGAAAAAATAGATTCATAAAACAAAATGTCTTTTAGGCATTTATTATGTCAAGTATTCAAAAGTTTATTCTCATTACCATAATAATAATAAATTTTTAGTGGTAAAAGTAAGATTTATTAGTCCAAACACCACTGAAGGGCTTCCAGGGATTTCCAAAGTAAAATCCCACTATCCTTTCCCTAAAAATAAATAAAACAGCAGCAGTCCCTAGGTATACCTTAAGCATAAACTATGAACATGCTCTTTATATATTACTGGCCTCAAGATAAAAATATAATTTTAGAAACCAATCAACACTAATGACCTGAATTTGATTTTACCTACTTGTATGTATTTCTTAGATAAGAAATTTCAGCATAAAGTACATATTAAAAATGAGCAATCAGTTCTGACTTTTCTAACTCACATATAAGGCAAAGTGCTCACTTTTACAAATAATTAAAACTTACTTCTAGGGCTGGGGAAGTATCTCAGTGACACAGCACCTGCCTGGCAAGTGTGAGCTCCTGAGTTTGATCCCCAGCACTCCCCCAAAGAAAAGCCTTACTTCTGACAATAATCTACAGAAATAATATGTAAACACACAGAACTATGAAACACACGAAGAACATCGTCCTGTGTGCTATGGATCAAAATGTAAAGATCTGTTATATATGTAAATAAACATATTAATTTGGGATATACTGTTGTTACATGGCTATACATACACATGTATACCATAAAACAAATTCTGACAAAGTTCTGATGATACTATACTCTTTAACCTCAACCACTAGAAAGAAAATGAAAACAATATGAAACCTGTTTCCTTTTTTTAATAAAGTTTTTAAGCAGAAAAACAAACCCAATTCTCTTCTTTGTAAAATGAATGGAGCTCTAAACAGTTCAGAGTCAAGAATCTCTTCAATTTTTCTCCAAGGTAACAGAACACATAAGCTTTCTCTCTACTCAGGAAGTCTGGTAATTTCCAGTGTTTTGTCTTAAAAACTACTTCCCAAGATACGAGGTAGCCATGCTGGTTAAATTCTTCCTGCTGCCCGCCTTACACATGATGTAACCATGTAGGTTGGCACCTTGTAGCACCACACCCATGATAACCACCACAAGGAGAAGAGAGCACTAAAGGCAGATACCACCCACAGCACTACACAGGCAATAAGTCCTAACCAAAATATTCTTGATTCGGCCTCTGAAACATTTATTCTCTTGAGAAGTTGCCTTCCTGGACTCAAACATCCAATGGCTCTTTCCGTCCTTATCAATATGATTCCACCAGTGTAGGCCAATCATTAGTCTACCTGTGACATTCTTCACTGCCCAGAAGTCACATGACAACAAAACAGTAATGGTCACCATACAGGCAATAAAGCTGCTGCTGAGCAATTCACGGGGAAGTTAGACTACAATTGCACTGACTCGAAAGAATAAATGGAAAAATGATGCCACCGGATGTCTGATTTTGGATCTTTTTGGTCTATTAACTGTCTCTTCTTCTGCATCAAACAGTGAAACATCTTCAGTGTCATCATTACTGTCTGGAAGCCTTGCGGCATCCCGAAGCCCTTCCCGGACAACTGTCCTCGGCTCTCCACTCTTGCTTGCCTTTCCCACTCTTCTTCGAGCTCAGGTGGAGGGCAGGGACACAACAGCCCCAGGGTGTTCAGCTGTCACCCCAAAAACCTGGCAGGGCAACCCTCTAGGTGCCCTCTTGCTGTTATTTCTCGTGCACTTGAGATTCTGTTCAGAAAATTCTTGCCTATGCCTATGTCTTCAAGAGTTTTACCTATTTTATCTTTCAGAAGATTAGGTGTTTCTGTTTTAATATTCAGATTTTGGATCTATTTTGATTTTAGTTTAGTACATGATGAGAAATATGGGTATACATTCAATATTCTGCATGTGGGTAGCCAATTTTCCCAGTACTGTAACATTTGCTAAAAAGGCTTTCTTTCAGCTTATGTTTTGAGACCCTTTGTCAAAAATTGGACTGCTGAATGTGCCTAGGATTGTTTCTGCACCCCTTATTCTGTTCTGTTGATTCCAGAAGTTTATTTTTATGCCAGTACCATGTTGTTTTTATCACTGTAACTTTGTAATATAACTTGAAATCTGGGATTGTGATGTCTCCTTCTTTGCTCTTGTTGTCCAGGATTGCTTTTGCTATTCTAGGTGTTTTTTGGTTCCACATGAATTATAGGATTGTTTTCTCTAGTTCTGTGAGAAGTGCTATTGGTATTTTCATTAGGATTGCATTAAATCTGCATATTAGTTTTGGAAATATGGCCATTTTGACAATATTGGTTCTGCCAATCCAGAAACAAGGAATATCGTTGGATATTCAGATGTCCTTTTCATTTGTTTCTTTTTTTGGTACCAGGGATTGAACTTGGAACCTTGCGCTTGCACCACTGAGCTAAATCCCTGGTCCCAGAAGTCCTTTTTGTTCTCCTTTTCCAGAGCACTGCAGTTTTAATGTAGAGTTTGTTCACTTTCTTGGTTAGTTTAATTCCTAAGTATTTAATTGTTCTTGATTTTACTGTGACTTGCATTGAGTCCCTGATTTCTTTGTCATTGACTTGATTATTGGTGCGCAGGAACACTACTGATTTTTATGTGTTAATTTTTATCCTGCTACATTGTTGAAGTTGATTATTAATTCTAGAAATATTTTGGTGGGAAGTTTTTTGGGTCTTCTATGTAAATAATTATGTTATTTGCAAATAATGGTAATTTGATTTCTTCCTTTCCTACACATATCTCTTTTATTTATTTCTTTCTCTTGCCAGATTGCTTTGGCTAATGTTTTGAGTACTATATTGAATAGGAGTAGTAACAGTGTATATCTTTGTCTTGTTCCTGATTCAAGATAAAGAGCCTTCAGCTTTTCCCCATTTAATTTAATGTTGAGAGTTTTTCACAAATGGCTTCTAAATTTTTTTGGGGTACCAGGGATTGAACTCGACCTTGTGCTTGTCAGGCGGGTGTGGCACCACTGAGCTACGTCCTCCATCCATAATAAAGGCCTTCTATATCTATTATTTTTCAGGGTTCTTTTTAAAAATCGTGAATGGATTTTGGATTTTGGCAGTGGTTTTTTTTTCTGCATCTATTGAGATGATCATGTGATTTTTATCCTTCCTTCTGTTTATCCGATATATTGCACTTAATGATTTGCATATGTTGAACCATCCTCCTCGCATCTCTGGGATGAAGCCTACTTGGTCATGGTGTATGATCTTTTTTTTCCTGCAGTACTGGGGATCGAACTCAAGACCTTGCTCTTGCAAGGCAGGCGTG